GAAAGGACCAAGAATGCATTATTTTGCAGATGTATTTGTGCCGACAAAAATGCAGCATAGAAACGCATTTAAGCCAGGCAACAATTTAAAAAAGCTGCTCGGTGATTGCTATCTGAGTCCTTTTTACTTCTGTGCAGAGGAATCATAGGTATTCTTATTACATAATAGTCTTTATTTAGGCCTCTACTGCCAACATACATGTTCACACTCTAACTTTGGCACATTGTCAGGTTCATTTGACATTTCAGTGCTATGGGAATTGATGTGCAGTCTGAAGTTCGCGTTCGTATTTCATCACTTTAGCATTGCCAAGCCAGTTGAGTTGTGACTTTATAAATGGAGCGCTTTTTTACTTGCACGGTAAAGTTAAAATGCACTTTTCTACAGACTTATAGCATTACTGTACTCATTCATCTGCCAATCTAATTGTAAATGGATGAATTTCCAGATTTGGAAAATCTTCCTGAAGCCTAAAGACTCTTGAAAAAAGGTAAGTATATTAAAAAACAGAAAAATACATGTAGTGGGGTAAGCGACCTGAGTGACAGAAGCAGGGAGGCTACAGTTGGGCTTAAAAATAAAGATCGGCAAACGTGCCACCGGCTTCACACAACCCATTCTGCTGAAACAGCAATTAAATGCATATGTTCTTGTCTGTAAATTTGATGCTAGCAACTTGAAGGATCTCCCTTGTAGAGAAGAAATGTGCTCCTTTCTATCATTCCAAGCAATAATATGTGTCTGGAAAACATATGGGTTTTGGGATAACCGCTTGTTGGGCAGGAAGCCAGGAAAAAAAACTAAGTCATCAGCTGTTGAAATGAATGGTTTTAAAGGTGATCCTTGGCTGTAGTTTATTTATTTATTTATGTTTGCCAAAACCCTTTAAAAAAAAAAGTCTTACCTATAGATACCTATTTTTTTTACGTACTATAAGAAGAGAAGTAATGGTGTACCTCACACATCTAGAAAGGCAGGGATACCAGATAGAGGTAAGAGGAAAAGTAAAATTCTGTTTTACTGAAAGACTTTCTAAATGTGTTTTTCTTATGGACACGTATCCTTATTGCTCTATATAGAGATCATGCTGACCTATGCACACCTAAATGATGATGTCCCTTTGCATAAGCTCTGCCCCTATTTTGATTATTTTAGCAAACACTAATGCTAGAATTTGCTGTTGGGGGCACCATGTGGCCTGCTTTGTATGTAAAGTTGCTTTTTATTTGTTTATTGAGGAACCCAGAATTCCTTGATACAGTATTTAGGTTGAACTGCTGCCTACAGGAGGATTTGGACACCGGCAAACAAAAAAACAGTGACCATCCTAGTATAACCCCTCCCACTCCCAGCATGCATCCATGTTTTGCTAGTGTCCTATGAGGATGGATGTCTTTTCTCTACTGAGAAAAGTTTAACTAATTTTTCAAGAGAATATTATTTTTTAGATTATTTTCTTCAATTAGGACATCATCTACATACCACGGAGATGGTCCCAACTATCTCAATCAGTATTTTCTCAGCAATAGCTTTGGAGGATGTACCCAGACCCCAATGGACCAAAGACTGCCAGGCCTGCCCAGAATGTAACTTTTTGGCACTGGGTTCTGCTTGTGGCGTATGCCAGACCACTGTGTACTGTGTTTTCTGGTCAAGAGCCACAGCACAGCCTCTGTTGTGAGCCAGTTTCTGAAGACTTATTTATGAGTAGCCTGTGAGTGCTGAAGGGCGCTAGGTCACTACTATATGTATATGAACAGTTGGGTACTGTTATTCTCTCCATTTTTCTGTCTGGTCTGCTTGAAAAGATTTAAAACACTGAGGAATTGAGTGCTGCATCACTAGTTGGAGTGTCACATATGCACACTCTGCGCTCTGTTTCCATCTTCAGCATGAATTAGCATTTTATCATCATTCTCCTATTTACAACAGACACATAGTTCCATCCTGGTTAGTCCGTATTGCCGCCTACAGTGTCCCTGTCACCTCTGGCTCTCGATCCATGGATAGTTCCTGGGCAGTGTTGCCTGTCAAGGACCTCACACCCACAGCTTGGGATGCTGTCCCTTGCTTGCATATTTATATTCCTCAAAGGCCTCCTTGGCTCCATCAAGTATGGCTCCTCCCTCTGGTTTGGTCTAATTTATGCAGGATTTTATGGAACAAATTGCTGAGTTGCTGACTATGACCACAGAGAACATAAGCGTACCTTAGGGCTTTCCCCTGCAGAACCACAATCTGATCTGCCAGCAGCCTTAGTGACCTTTGAGCATTCAGTTGTGGAGGGTCTATCTAAAAAAGAGTCACACAAATCATTGCAGGATTTTCCTGAGGAGTCACAGGCAACCACCAGAGACCATTTTTGCTCTTACTGATGGAGTAAGAGCTAACCTAAACCATCTTTAGGTTAGCTCACACTCTATCAAAATGAGCAAAAGTAGTCTCTGGTGGTTTACCTGTGACTCCTCAGGAACATCCACTAACCCTGCTTCCCTATGTAGCAGCCCATGTGTGCTATTATAGTAAATACAGTTTATCCTGCCAGAGGGTTGAAATTATGCTGACTTTCTGCTATATGGATAGCAACCTGTATGTCATTTAGCACTCGGCTTGTCTATTCGGAAGGGAGGAAGGGGGGCAAGAAAAACTTGTTCCTCTTTGTCCAAAAGGTACTGGTAGACCTCTCCACTAGGGATACCAGTCTATAAGCTAGTAGCTATTGTGGGTAAGCTATTGTCACTTACCAGCCTTGCTCCCTTGCTCTTCTGGGTCTCTCATGTGATGTTGCAGCCAATTACACCATAGGTGTGCATCTTTTAAAGGGATTGCCCCTTTTTACAGTATTAGTCTCCACATATCCAGTAAGTTGGGGTTAGTTACCACATGTTAGAGCAGGGTGAACCGAGGGGTCATGACCTGGGGTCAGCTAGTCACTAAGTCCAAACGCCTGTGAAGTGGTCCCTGATGGAATACCAGCTGGCCCTTAGACTCCACATCCTGGTGGATCCAACATCACCTGCTCACACATGAGTTTGCTTAATTCACTATTGAGACAGCTATGATTTCTTCTGAAAATGCTAGTTGCCTGGCTACTATGCTATCCCAAAAACAACAAAGGACAAGCGCACAACCAGGGGGTACAAACTTGTGGGAGATGTTGTATAAGGACAGGGATTCCAGTGTGCAAGCTCTATGAGGAACAGGGAGAGGAGCCCTGTGATAAGCAAATGTGTGAAAATCCACGTCTTCGCAGGCAGTTAACCCACCAGACCATTGGACTCTACAGGTCTGCACTTACCCAGGGTCCCCACTGGATTTCCTCCCATAGACGACTTCTTAAACGTGAGTTTCCCTATATGCTTAGTACAGTAGTAGCGCTCTAAACACAATTTTCATACTATGCTATCCCACTGGTTTCAATACTTAAGTCATTAACCTGGAACAACGTTAATTGGAATGCTTGTTCTAAGTCTGTAACTCAATGTATTAAAGCCATTGGAACAGCCAGGGACCTAGCATTTGCAGGATGAAAAGTCAATGGCAGATTCAAGGTTTCTTTCGGGAAAGGTTTGCTTTAAACATGGTAGAAAAAAAATAAAGCAAAAAAAAAAATGTGGATTGGTAAGTATATACAGATATTTAGTTCCCATAATTCAGCCCAATCAATATCAGATCTAATTTAGCCTAATTCCATTTTCTTGTTCTTGAAAAAGCATAAACATATGGATGTTTACTCCACCTCCCCATTAGAAGCATGATCTAATATCCCTTTAGGGCAAAAAAAAGAAGAAACAAAAATTGGCAAGACCAGTGGTCTTTATCTGTAGGCATGTTGTTATTCTGTATTCTGGCCAAGTGACTCATGAGGGAAAACCCTGAGGTGTATGTTTACATGTACTGTACCATTCCGTTTCCAACTCTCCCCCTGACTTTGTAACTTGCTATATTCTAGGAATCTGATACACAGATATCATTTACGAGTTTCTCTTCATTCCAGTATGCGTGAAAAAGAAGTAAGAGATGGCTAATGGATGAATAGTTAGCTGGCCTCTTATATCTCTCAGGGTCTCCAGTGATGAGTGCTAAATTCCCTACACTGCCCCTGTTTCTGCCATTAGGAAGCCAAACACAAAGAAGTCCTGGAATATTTCACTCATAACTGTTCCCCGAGCAGCCACCCTCTAATCACCTGGAACACACACAAATTTCTTATCCGTGGGCTGCCCATTCTGTTAGGCACTAAAGCAAAACAAGGAACAAACAAGGCTCTCCTGTCTCTTCTTGGCTGCATTGGAAAACTGGAAAATGCTCATAAATGCTCTCTTTCCTCATGAAACCCTTGCAGAATATAAAGTTAACTACAGTCACTTATAATATTTTATGTAAATGTGATTAGCTTAACGTAGAATCATGAGCAAAGGAAAAAATACATATATGTTGCAGTCTGTCACTAGCAATAACACTGCAGTTTTTGTTTTTCTGCTTTCCCCCTGTATTTTATTACCATTAAATCCAGAGAATAGATCAACAGGATGAAGGCAGTTAAATCCCGCTGCAGCATTATCAACTTATAGACAGTGTAGTCTTCAATGGACATGTAGTTTTAGATAGACTAAACAAATTGAAGCCTAACTCCAGTTAACACTTTTTAAGCAGTTACCGCAAAAGCTTTTTTGCTTTTGGAAACAAGGTTTCAACCACATGAATAAAAGCAGACCGTCGTAAGCACCCCATAGGTTGACCCCATTCCCTGTAATTGTTGCTTTTGCTGGCCGGTCAATGTAAGGAAAAATATAAATAAACTGTGAACTAAAGCTTGACTTTTACAGGTAAAGTCAACATTTGCATATAATGTCAACTGCCTACAGTGGTGGAACACTTCATAATTTTGATAGATGTTTACTAATTGTAATCTCTGCCTAGAGTATAAGGGACTTTATTTAAAATCACCATTTTGTGACATGAAACCACATCTTTACATGTGAATGCAGGATATTTACCCATATTACAAGCTTGTCCACTAAGTGCATAAAGCTGATGTTGATATGCCCACTCTTCATCATTAGGAGCAGATATAATGAGCAGTCTTCTTCTCCAGCGGAATCTTTAAAAAAAGAGAAACAAGTTAATTTTCCTATGCACTAAATCATCTCTAGCATTCATTTTCAAGAAAGAAAAAACATTGCATCAAACGCCTTAAATTGCAATATTACTTCTAGTAATATTGCAATCGATATGTTAATATGCTTTTTGGGAGGGTGTTAAAGCAAATTCTTAGTTGCCCATTCAGAGTGTCTTCTCAAAGTCTCTCTTCATCGGATCCCTGGCTCCATTGTTCTAATGGAATGGGGCTTGTGGATCTGGGGGAGCATGTGACCTCCTTCACGTCACAGTGCTCGTCCCTTAGCGACCCATCGTTAGGCCCAAAAACTGCCCTAAGGGGGGTGGAAGGGTGGCAGTGATGTCATCAACAACGGAGCTTACTCAGGGTGGACTCCTGTAGTGAAGAAGTGGTGAGGAAGTGCAAATTGGTAAGTATACCTTGCTGAATGTGGTATCAGGAGGCACTGTTACTTTCTACTTACTGCTATGAATGGGCAGGTGACAATGTCTCTTTAAAGGAGAACTATGAGATGAGGGATTTCCACTCACCTCATAGTTCTAGCCGACCTGTGACAATGAGACTGTCACAGGTCGGCTCAGTAGATCGGGAGGTGAGCGAACACATACCAGGTTCGCTCACCTCTCGATCCTGTCACGGCTCTAACTGCCGTGACAGTGGGAGGGCTGGATTCCCTTCTCCCCGCTCCGATCTGCCAGCGCTGACCGGCGGAACGGACGGGGGAGGGGGCGGGTACAGCTAGCTCTGCCTCTAGGTAGGCAGAGCCAGCTGTCACTCACGCAGCTGGGCGGATCCCGTCATCTACGTCGGGATCCGCTCCGGCTGCGGCGTCTCAGTATACCGCGAGCTGTAGCTCGCGGTCTACTGAGCTTAGGGTAACGGGAGGACGCTAGTTTGTGTCCTCCCGCGACCCTAAGGAGAACTATGGGGAAAAACACTGACCCCATAGTTCTCCTTTAAACATCTGACACCAAACATTTTCCAACTAGATTATGAAAACTGTGATATAATTCATAAAAGTTGGTTTCTTAAAAGAGTAGATGATTCTAACTTTGCAAAGTGGATGTTCACTTAACTTACTGAATAAGCTGCCTTGACTTTAATCATCCAATTACGTGCAATAACTGGGTATTCAAGCTAAATGAACATTCGCTCTGCAAAATAAAGTTTATCTATACATTTAGTAAATCAGCCACATAGAACCTTTCCAACCCTACTGCTTTTTGGACCTGAATATACTGTAAAAGGAACACAGTGCAATAGCTGTGCTGCTGAACATGATGATTATGTTGGGGTGGATTTGGAATGGATGTCATCTTGCTAAACCACTATCGGTTAGTTTTATGAACATTCTAATCTCTGTGGCTCTCTCCCTCTCATTACATAGCCTACTTCTCTACTCCTCATCTTGTTCACTTTTAATGTTCTGTTTTTCTCTCTAACCTTTACAGTTATCTTAATTTCAGATTTGTGTAAGATCGAGTACAATGAAAAAAGCAGTACATCTCTGAAATACATGCACATTTCCCCATGTTTTATGCTTTTAAAGACCCTGCAAGTGCAGAACAATATGTGTTGATCTGTCAGAAATGCACTTGGCTCTAAATTTCCTTTTGTGTCTTTTGCTAAATGACATCATCCCTCCCTTCTCATCTCCACAACATGGGGGCAATTGTTTTGTAGTCCAAGATAAGAACGGTGTGGGATGATTAGGCTCAGTGAGTTAACACAGACAGGTTAAACATGACACAGGGCAGCTTTCAATTTCTGGCAGGAGCAACTAGTATTTTTTGCACTTATCAAACGGATATAACAAAATGTTTTCAATTGTATATGTAAAGAAGTCTGGGTAGAAGAAAAACATATTTTTGCGGTGAGGCTACTGTACTAGGGGGCTCAAAGAAAGCAGTATTACTCACATGATCCTAGGTCCTGCAGCGGCCAGGACTCACGTCTCCCCCCCTTCTGTTATGGCTGTGGTATGTCTCTCGACATCCTCATGTCTTATGCAAGTTAATGGACCTGCATAAGGGGAGAAGAGGCTACAGGGACCGATCTAGCAGCCTGGAGGAACTGAGGATCAGGAGAGTAAATCTGCTTTTTTTTCTACAACACAAGCACTTAACCCTTGCAGTGCGGGGGTAGCCCCACTAAAAAGGGTACGTTTTTAGTTTTCCGGGAGTTCTTTTTTTAACAGACCAAAAGAGAACTGTTCAGTTTGATTTTACATACATATTTACATTTTGCTCAACTTCTGTGTATCAGTACTGCTTGCACCTAAAAAAAGGGTGTAACCCACAAAAGCTTGACGTTCAGTACTCATTTTTGTTGTTACAAGTGCACTTATAAGGCTACATTTACCTTTCGCAGAATAGAACTGTTGTAAGATATATCTTGTTTTTGCATCTTATCTGAATGTGTGGATACCTGTGACTGATAAGTGAATGCTTTGTATGGTGCATGTGTACTAGGTTTTGTATCAATCCCCTGCTGTCTTAGTTCTACTTGGTCCACCTACCTGTAATGCAGTAATACTTTTATATGCCCACAAGCCAAATTATTTCCTATGGAGAGGAACATAACATTCCTTACATTGTTGTAAGAGAAAATTGCTTTTTCTATCTACTTTATCGGTAGCTTTCCAACAAGGACTGAAGGTTTTTAAGCAGTTCACTTGCAAATTACATTTTCGGTTAAAATATGAATAGCAAAGTATAATTCCTTTTGGTTGGATGCTGGAAGGTTTTTTTTTTTTCTTCACATCTATTGAAGTAACAGACGTGAGTTATGTGACATACTGGGAAATCAGTTCCTGCTTGAAAGCTGAGAACACTTTATCCATAAGACTCCAGCAGAAAAACATATTACAGCATGTTTCACTGCACAAAAAATGCTATGTGGCTGCAGAGGAAAAAAAAAATCTAAATGTTTACAATGCCAGCCGTCCATCTCCTCCTTCCTGTGGATCCACGCCACTCGCTGAAACGGATTGGGACCCTTGGTGAGGCCGCACAGCCCTCCTAAGACCCTGCACAGCCACTTGAGAGTCCACACAGTCCACCATAGAACCTGCATAGCCACCTGAGAGTCCGCACTATTACACCGATTGCCATTATTTTTTCTATACTTCTTCTCTATACTTCTTCTTTTAGAGATAGTTTTTAAAGTGACATTGAAGTCACAAATATTCCCCCCCATGCTGCTTTATGGACTTACCTTAACTGATGCCTCTTGATCTGATCATGTTCTTCTTTCCAGTAGCCCCTCCAGCGCTGGTGCTAGTCTCTGATCCAGCGCTGACTGCTGTGTCTTCTGTGTCCCATGGAGTCTGTCCGTGTGCACGCTGGCGGGCTGCATGCATTGACTTGCACTTTGTCTCATCTCTTCTCCTGGCCAAAGATCTTTACTGTGCATGCACCTGCCCCATCATGCTGCTCCAGATCTTCAGATATTCGGAGCGGTGGAGACAGAGGTAAGTAAAACCCTTTTTAGTAACTTTTTTAAAAATGTTTTTGCATATATTTACTGCTAGTTACATCACAGCAAGTGAGAGGAAATGCTTTAAAAGTTAGGAAAATCACAGGTGGTCAGCAGGGCCACCAGAACTAGTGTGCCAACTGGAATATATCCTATCTATTCCTGTTATGATGACAATCCAAACGTTGGGATTTTTTTTTTATGTAACACAGATAACAATACAAACTTGACAGGTGTTGTAATCTCTCTCAGTTCTATCCAAAACTAAAAGAAAGTTTTGGCTTCAGTGGCACTTTAAGGGTTGGTAAACTGCAATATAGTACATTTTTGCTTTGGGGTTTGGATAGGCTTTGTAAGTGGGTCAGTCTCTTTGAATTCCTTTGTTTTGCCTGGGTAGGGTTTGAGCTGTACAACAGCACATAAAAGCTGAGCCACAGAACCAGCTAATCTCTGCGCTGACACAGGAAAACATTTGGCTTTTTGTCCGGAATGTCTAATCTGTCAAAAAGATTTCCACGTGTGAAAATTATGTCTCATGCTCCCTGATCCACGCTTTAACAATCTGAGCCCGATGAATCCTGGCATTGCCATCTTGGACTACGTCTATGCCATCAGGGAAGAAAAATCCATTGATGGAAAAACCTGGTCATTCAGTATGTTCTGGTAGGCATTTGACCTAATTTTTGGGGGACATGATGATGCTGATGCTAGACCTGAACAACTGCAGCAACCCCCAGATCATGACAAAACAAAATCCAGGTAGTGACTTTTTTTTGGCCAGGCAGTGTATTTGACCAGGTTAAATAAATACTTTTTTTTTGCTGATTTGTACTCAGAGGATCAAAATATTCCTGTTTCCCCTAATACCAAGTATATTAACTTTCTTGTCTACAACATTTTCAGAACAAGAGATTCTGCAAAGAAGGTAAGGTTAGTGCAGAGCTTTATTGTCACACGCAGTGGCCACACAAAGTTGGTGTGGGGGTTGCGGGCCCACATCAGGTGACACCATCAGAGAGGGTAACACCAAAATGACTAAAAGTCAGGCACTTGGTCCGAGAGCCTGACAGCGTCACAAGGGGGGGAGGGGGGTATGATATTGGACCTGGCGGCATACCTGATCCCGCCAGGCTGATAGCCACTCTTCTCTTTTGCCAGCATCCATCATCAAGATGGCCACCAGATCACCTCGCATGCGTGATGACGTCACACTACAGACGTCATGAAGCATACCCTGCGGCTGCACCAGGTGACGCCCACCCTGGTGCTGCCACTGGTTACACATGAGCGACATGTCTATTTTCTTAAGTAATGATTCATCTGACTGACACAGGTTGGGATTCGAGATGTCTCTATTAGACATGTGCACATCATAATAATTAATTTTCGGATTAAACGAATGAAAAACTAATTATAATGCTGTTCCGGATTCAGAGGCAACGAACCTCACAATCCGAAAGCACACATTAAAAAAACAGAAAGCGTGGTTGCTATATTGGCCACCA